GAAAATTGTCTCAGACCCCCCCCGGATAGTGTAATCTTTCATATGGGGATTAAGGAGTCCGGCGGACTAAAAGAAAAACAAAACGCCGGATTGAATTCTTCCAATGGATTACAATCTGCACAGTAAATAGTCTCTCCTCTTATCCCTCCAACCAAACACGCCCTAAGTTCATTAATTAAGATCTACATATAAGTCTAAAAAAAAAAAAAAAACAAAAAAAAAAAAAAACACTACAATATTAATGTGGTAATTTTATTATTTAAATAATTTAAATAAAAAGCATTGCCGTGGTATTTTGTTCTAATATAAGAAGTTTATTTTGTTTATGGTTAAATATCTATAAAAATAAGCAAGTGAAAAGCTGCGAGGTGTGTAGAACTAATTGACCCATGTTCTAGGCTAAGTGGTCATGGGAGAGTAGTTAAGTGTTAGTGAGATGATGTTTCAAGATTGAATCAATAGAGGGACGGCAATATATTGTAATAATCTAATTCTAATTAACTTGCTAACATCTTAGTGTGTGGCAACAGAAGAGTTTATAACTATTATTCTTGTGCCTTGCATTAAAATGTCTAATTTAACTGAAATGTTACAATGTGCACTTGGGACTTGGGGGTGTGTTGCCTTTTAGGTCTCAAGTTCAAAACTTCCTAAGTGCAAACAATTTCTTAGGATTAGTACATACAGGGCAACGCTCTACCTTCCATTGAGACTGTTGCAATTGAACGGTGGGATTGATCTCCCAAATTAGTCAATCCAATGAGTTGGACACCAAGTTATAAAAAAAACATTGTAAGAAAAGTTTCAATTTTTTTGATAAAAATTATGAATGTTTTATGATGATAGTTACGACGTTTGTTATAAAAGTCATGAATGATAAAATTATAATGTGTACCTAAAAGTTATATATGACTAAAATTATATTTTTTGTGATAAAAGTTATACATTTTGTGAGAAGTAAAAAGTAATATTTTTTGTGAAGAAATAAAATTATATTTTTTGTGACAAAAGTTATACATTTTGTAATAAATGTTATACTTTCTACGTAAACTACATACCATAAGCACCCAAAAGAGGTGCACATAGTAGCCTTTTCCCTAATTCAATATTAAATAGATCAATGAGTAGGAAAGATTTAATTTTTTTTTAAATTATTTATATAAAAAAAAATTACAAAATGACACAAGCTGAATGCTTGAACCGAAGGGAAACCGTTCTCGTTGTTAAAGCAGAAACACAACCCACTAGACCAGAAAAAAATTCAGTGTAGACGTTAAAAAATTTTAATAATCACAAACCCTAAGCTTAGAGAAAATTGTATTAAAAAACTTGAATAGAAAAATACAGCCCATCAAATGACTCTAAAGTCTAAACCCCCCATGGATAAATTAGGTTACTTTGACTCTCACATAGCATCAAATTGAGAACATGAGGAAAGTTTGTTTACAAATTAATACCAAATAACCATCACAATAGAAACATTATCATAAAGTAAATGTGAAAAGCCAAAAATAGGAATTTCTAATAAGTATTTTAAAAATTGTTTCTTAATTGGCACAATGTATGAGTAAGAATTTTGATGGCATAATAATAAGAATATTAGCTGAAAGAATTTTGATATTTTCTCACTTTATATCAAGTAAATTTGTACCTGTCATTTTCTTTTTATATCCAATTTAAATAGTAACGAGAAATTTCTCAAAATTGATAATTATAAATTTCTTAAAACACACATTGATGGCTTTTTTTTTGTGTGTGTGTGAAAGTGTTTCTTGTAATTTTTGCTTATGAGCTAGAAACAATTTAAATAAACTGTGAAAACTTAATGGTAAATTACAATTTGTGTCTTTTATATTTGATTATTTTTTATTTTGATCTTTAAAATTTATTTTTTCTCACTTTGACCCTTTATATTTCAAGTTTTTCCCAATTTACTCTTAAAACTAAATTTTGTTCAAAATTAAACAGAATATATCATAATAACTATCACATAATATAAAATATATATTATTATATTAAAATTTAAGTTTATGTTAGAGATGTGAGTTATATATAATAAAATATTTTTATATCACGTGACTGTTAATGTGTTATTTTCTGTTTAATTTTTAATAGAAATTAATTTTAAGAGTATATTGGAAAAAAACTTGAAATATAAAAGACCAAAGTAGAAAAATGACCAAACATAAAAGAGGCAAAATGTAATTTACCCAAAACTTAATTATCTAAAAATTGAGAGATAATTGTTTTTAACTTCTACTTTATTAATAATAATTTTTTAGAAAAACTACGTCAAACAAGCATTTTAATTAACCAGCCGTCAAACCGTGAGAAATAATTTTGCATGAATAAGTTTCTCATATAATTATATCTGTACTTAAATAGTATGATTTATCAAAATAAAAATAATAATTTGACCATTTATATATAATTTTAGAATAAAACTAACCAATATTATACGAATAATAAAAATACTTGAAATCATTATTTTTTGTGACCTCCACAATCTTTAATTGATCTGTGACTACACATTATATCTTCTTTTTTTTCTCTCTTTCGTCCCTCTCTCTCACAAATGATGTGGGGGTCTTGGGAGTTGTGAGGGTCTGAAACATTACTGAATTATTATCCATATACTTAAATAGTATCATTAAGTTTCTTTGATTCAGTTACTTCTTTTGACACAAGGAATTTTTTTGTCCACAATTCTTTTTTTCTTTTTCTTTCAAATAATTAATTTATATTAGTCAGATTCAAATAAATTTGTCATCTAGTCTAGAAGTAATTTGCAACACGGTACGTTATAGAGATAAGGACAGAAATTTTCCTGTTTTTTTTTTAGCCAGGTAAGAGTGCCAAATGGAAGTGTGAGAACAGTACATGTAGGCAAATATTAATTGCATTTTAATTAATAAAATTACATTTAAAAACACATGTTTCTGTATTTTATATATGCATTTTAACAGCACTTTCTACTACAAAAATTAGTTTGCTTGATCTTCAAAATTCTCCAAATATAATCAGTAGTATGAAGCAAAATGTGAATTATATTATTTATTCTATTGAAGTTCCATTTTGTAATGAAGTTAGGTAAAATGTCTAAAATATTCTAAAAGAGTAATGATACATATCATGAAAAGTTTTGTGAAATTAATTTAAGGGTAATTGCATAATATACAATAAAACACTAGAAACTAATCCAAGAATAGAGAATCTTTATGAAGGTTTTTCATAATTTTTTTTTTTCATGATACCTAACATTATTGATCATATATTGTCTTTCTTGTTGGAAATGTTCTACATGCTTCTTCTTTTTTCTTTTTTCTTTTTTTTCATATAGTGAATTATTAATAAATTAATAGAGTTAGGTTATTGAAGCTCCATTCTGTAATAAAGCTAGGCAAAATGACTAAAATATTTTAAGAGAGTAATGATACGTATCATGAAATAAATATCATGAAAAATTTTATGAAATTAATCTAAGGATAATTGCATAATATACAATAAAACATTACAAACTAATTCAAGAGTAGAGAATTTTCATGAAGATTTTTCATAATATTTTTTTAAGATACCTAACATTATTGACCTTAAAATATCTTTTTGGTTGGAAATGTTATACATGCTTCTTTTTTTTCTTTTTTTTTTTATATAGTGAATTATTAATAAATTAATAATTAATAGAGCTAGGTTATTACCTACAACAACTTAGGTTACAATAAAATGGTAGGAGATTAGTAAGTTAAATTATAATGAAAGGGCCATAGTCTCTTCATCAATTCGAATATTGAACTTCTGACATTTTCACTTTGGAAAATGACTCGTAGCTCGAATTCGGTAGCCTGAATTCGGCTCGAAACCCAAAACGACGTCGTTTTGGGTTTTGATTTTTTTTTCTTCTTGCCTTTTCTTTATCTTCCTTTTCTTTCTTTCTTTTCTTCTTCTTCTTCGTTGAACACAGGAGAAGAGCAGAGGAAGAAGAGAGGAGAAGAGAAAGAGGACGAGAGAGGGAGAAAGAGAGAGGAGGAGAGGAGATCGTCGTAGCACCACCGCCATCGCCTCGTCGCCGCCGATCGTCGCAGCACCACCGCCGTCGCCTCCGGCCCCGCCTCCGCCTCCTTCTCCCCCTGTGATTATGCCCCCTCCAGTCATCCTCCTTCCTTCTCCTCTTCCTTCCTCCTTCTCTTCTTCTTCTTCTTCCTTCTTTTTCTTCTTCGAATTCGAGCCAAATTCGAACTACCTATCGGAACCGTTTCACTTTCTCAAAAACACTACATAGACCATTGAACTAGTTGTCCTGTCTATACATGTAAAATTTATAATTTTGAATTTCACATTTATACGTAAGAGAATAGAACACAATATAAAATTATTAAGTAATTTAAAAATATTATGTAATATTATTTATGTATTATTTTAAATAAATTAAAAAATATTTTTTTCACACATAAACTGTATTTTTGGTATTGACAGCGTCAAGTGGTTACAGTAGATCAGCTTGTTTGGTTTTAGTTTTCAGAAAATACTTTTAGAAAATTCAATTTTTTTTTTTTATTTTTTGTATTCTTTTTATTTTCAATGAATTTTTTTTAATATTTTAAGTAATGTTTTTTTAATTTTTAAACACACCTAACATAAATACACTTTAAAAATATAATATTTGTGAAATTTTCTTTAAAAAAATTTACTAAATACCAAAAATATAAAAAAAATATATGAAAATTCAATACATCTTTCGTATTTTTGTATATTTATTAATTTTTTAAAATATTTTTTCACAAATATTTTACTATTTAAATACCTCTAAATAAAGTACATCTAAAAAAGTAAAAAATATCATTTAAAAATTTTAAAATATTTACTAAAAATAAAAAAATACAAAAAAAATAAAAAAACTCAACTTTTAAAAAATTAAATTAAAAAAATAAAACCAAACACATTTTTTCGCTCTAATTACCTTCTATCGCACGCCTTCCCCCCTTTTTCTTCCTACAATTATAAATACAAGAGAGAGAGAGAGAGAGACGCACATCATACCTTCTCTCTCTCTAAGACTTCTCAAACACCACCACAGCAACAATGTCTACAGATCTAGAATTCCGGCAAGAATTGCCTCAACTCCGACTAGCGGCGATCAGAATCAGAGCTTCACTGCTCTCTGAAACCACCGGCGACGATTCCACCGCCACAATTCAGACACCAAAAAGCGGAGGCGATGACGAATGCCATACGCCAAAATCGCCTGAACACAAAATTCCGGCGATCCTAATCTGTCCGCCGGCGCCGAAGAAGCCGAAGCGCTCAGTTTCTTGCAAGAGAAAGCTCTGCGAGCTTGAGTTCTTCGAGATCGTGGCTCGAGAAGAGGTTGAGTCTTTTTTCAGATCGAGTTTTGATGAGTTCGTTGATGTGAATCTGAAGAGAAGGTGTCCTTGTATATGAATGAATCATCATTCAGCTCAATTTTCTCGGAATCCGGAGAAATTCTCTCTCTGTCTCTCTCTCTCTATATATATATATGATCAGCAACATATATGCCACTTTGATTATTTGTTCTTTAAATATTCTTGTTAATATCAGTCAGTCTGGAAAATTCACGTAATTTGGATCTAAAATATAGTTTATCACCATGAATTTGTTGTCCATATTCTATTTAATTAAAGTCATTCTGAATTGTTTTCGAATTTAATTTCAATTTTGCTTGTAATTTTTTTTCTCATTTTCTTGATGTGGTTTTGAAAAGTGGAGAGAGGTGATTGGTTAGCGCTTTTGTCTGAACTAGGCTATGAGCCTTGTGCTGTGATGATTTCATTTTCTATAAAAATAAAAAATAAAATAAAAAATCAATAAATTATAGGAGTTTTTAATTTAAATTTCCTCACATTGGATTTTATAAAATAAAGCACCTACAACATTTTCATAGTAATTGGGATTTCTCAGCATTTTTATAGATAAATTTTCAATTTTTCTCAAGGAAATTAACTCTTTACAAAAAAAATTCTCTAATAATATTATTGAGGACCTTAACTAATAAATAATATATATATTGGACCTCTCCTACTATTTAAAAAAAAAATTCACTAATTTTTTCTAAATTATATTGACACTCTGATATTTAAAAAAAATACAATTAACTTTTATAAATTTGGTCTAATTATAAGATGCTCCTATAAGTTTTTAATTCATGTGATTTTAATTTTAATAAAAAAATATATATAATTATATCAAATTTATGAAGTTTAATATTATTTTAGAATTTAGAATAATTTATTATTATTTTTTTTTGAGTTGGTTAAGATGGTTGATCTGTATTTTGTTGACAATTATGTTGAGTGATTCACACGGCTTTGAGATCTATAAACAAAATTTTCTCTTTAATAATACTAGTCAATATATACATAAATACACAAACATACATACATCATAAAGAATAGATAGGGAAGAGCTATAATTAGGCTTCGTATGTTGAGTGATTCACACGGCTTTGAGATCTATAACAAAATTTTCTCTTTAATAATACTAGTCAATATATACATAAATACATACATACATATATGTCCATGATATCATAGAGAATTAAGAGAGGGAAGAGCTATAATTAGGCTTCATTTGGAAACAATATATTTTAGTAAATTTTTAATTTTTTATAAAAAAATATACAGAAAAATAAAAAAAATAATGTGACAACTTATAGTAATTTTTTGATTTTTTAATATATAATTGCCAGACGAGGTGTTATTAAATATTGTAAACAAAAATAAGACAATGTGCTACTTTGCTATTTCATACAATAGTATTTTAAGAAGTTAGTTAAAAGTTAACTTTTTGATTTTTTTTTAAAAAAAAATATAAAAAATGTAAGGGATGATATAATCTAAACTAGATTACAAATTAACTTTTAACTCACTTCTCAAAAAAGCTACAGGACAATTATCGTGCAGGTTTGTTTTTTTTATAAGTCTAGAAATTCAGAAAGAAAATAAAAAATAAAATAGAATAATGAAACCGTATTTATAACACGTACTTCGTCACCAAATCTTTCGCAATCCCTATATAAGTTCACATTCATTTTTTTTTTTTTCCTCTGATAAGTTTTGAAACACGTCATTTATAAGGATTTTATATTGGAGAAATAACAATTTAGTGTATATTTGTAAAATTAATTTTAAAATTAGTAATAAATTTTTATAATTAAAATTATAATTTATTTTTTCATTTTGGAAAGATAACACTGATATATAATTTCTATTTTTCTATTATCAAATATAAATAATAACGGGTTTTGTGTGAAACCCTTTAACATGTAACACATTAAGTAGTTAGTATGAAAAATATATAGTACTACTTAGGAAAAACTACAGACACACTGCTGTGATTTACTAAGGAGTGGTTTGGGATGATCTAAATAAGTGTACTTTTTGACTTTTTATAAAATATGGATTGGGTATGAGTTGGGTTTTAAGTGATGTGGTAGAGAGGTAATGTGACTTAAATAAGATGATGTAACTTAAATAGGATAGTAACTTTTTGACTTTTTTAGTGTACCCCAAACCAAGCCTTAAAATAAGAATTGTTTGTGTAGTTCTAAAAATTGTACATTCCACTCATATAAAATTTATACATTCCACTCATATAAATTTTTAATTTTACAACAAATGTCTCATTTTATTAATAAATCGTCAATTCAATCAACATTTTTTAATAATATTATAAATTTATTTTAATTAATAATTCAGGTAATTTTATTATTATATAAGAGAGCAGTTAGAAATTTTATTTTTTCAGTTAATAAATTCTAAAAAGAAGACATTTGTAATTTTTCAAACAGTAAGGGCAATTCGTAACATAGGCAATTATGCTCCAATTACTATCTTTCCATCCTAATACACTATCAATTGTTAGATCATGTGAAGATCTGGAAATATAAAAATTTCAATACTCCTATATAATCTCAATATTGTAAGTGAAATATTGAAATAGAAAAAATTGAAAATAGATGATCTGATATCTATTTATTATCACTTTACTCTACTGAAATAATTATGAAACACTAACCATGATATGTGTATGTGTTGTGAAATCCGACCAGACTTTCACATTTTAAGAAATGGTAAAACATGATTTCAAACCTCAACAAGGGTTGAAGGTGTGTTTGTGGCATAATTACAACTTTTTCTTTTTTCTTTTTTTTTCTTTTTGGTATAATTAGTCTAATAGTTTCATATGTAAGTAGGAAATTGGCAAACCACGTGATAAAAGCATAAAAAGGTTCACATGGCCTTCCTCATGCCTCTCTCACACAGCACATTCCGCGTTCTTTAAGGTGATGTTTGGCAATATTAAGTGTAACTTGTTTTTTTTTTTTTTTAAATTAAAAAATTACTAGAAAATTAAATTCCCAATGAATGTAAATCCTTCTCAGACCATTCAGTCTGACTGGTGGGATACAATGGCGCTGTTTGGTAGAGTTATGGGAAAGTGATCTTATAATTTAACAGCTTATAACTTATAACTGTGAATATAAGTTGATTTTTAACTTATAAATTAAGTTTCTCCTCCCTCACTCAAAGAATAAGTTGATTTTTGACTTATAAAAAACTATAAACTGTATTATTAAGCTGATTCAAACATATTAAAATAACTTAAATTAAGCTAAAAATTAAAATAAGTTAGAAATAAGCTCTACTAAACATGGCCAATACCAGCCTTACTTTTATTTAATTTTATTATTTGTTTTAAAAAAAAGAAGAAGATAAGTGTGAGCTTAAAATTTGAGTGTTCATTTTTTTGTTTTTTTGCAAACAAACGATAAAATTATATGACTACGACTCTTAGATTTTTTTTCCATAAATGATTGAAACACTAAAATCTAAATAATGACTGGATTAGAGACTATCAAAGTAGGATTTGTAATAAACTATGACCCTGTTTGTTTAGAGTTATAGAGAGAGGATTGAGATTGATAGTAAGGTGGGATCTACTATATGTCATAGGGGTGGGCGCGGATCGGTTGTAGCCACGGAACCTCCAATCCGTCATCCGTCTGTTTAGATTGGCGGATTGGAGAAAATCAATCCACATCCGTCCGTTAATTCGGCGGATGTAGATTGAGTGGATTGGTGGATGGATGCAAATCGGTTTAGCGGTTTAATGTTTTACAAATTTTCAACATAATTCAACTTGTGCACTTTCTCAACAAAAAAAAAAAAATTACAGTCAATAACTTAAAAAAGTATTACAATTACCGCATGCCTCATCCAAAGAAAGCAAGTTTGAAACTTTAGAATATTATAATCACTACATACCTCATCCATATATTACAATCACAGCATGCCTTATTCACATAAAGTATTACAATTTGTGATTCTTAAAATATAAAAACAATTCAAACCACCAAAATCATAAACCGAGCAGTAGTAAAGATTGTATGCCTTTGTATTGTTACATCTATATATTTGTTTTTGAAAACAAAAACCAACCAACATATATCATCTTTTTTATTTATTATTTTTTGAGTTAGATTTTAAAACCAAAAAATATAAATAAATAATACATTTATTTTTTTCAATTCAAAAAATATATTCAAGTTGAAAACTCTTTTTCAACAGAACATATTCAATAGAATATTTAAACACTTTTTCAATTGAAAACACAAATAGAATATCTAAACAAATTGAAAGCACAAAGTCTTACAAATTATCAAGGGTGCTCGTGGTTTGGCGGTTTGGTTGCGGCCAAAAGAACCTTAAATTTGCCATCCGTCCAAAACTAGGCAGATTGAAAAAAATCAATCTGCAACCGTCCGCACATCATCACGCGTCCGTTCAAAATACGACATATTGGTTGGATTTGGGCGAATCGGTATATTTGCTGCTCACCCATAATATGTCATGTTTGTTTTGAGAGATGGGGAGGGAAATCATATTAGGATGGAGGAGATGGAGGTAGTATTAAAATTTTAGTCCGCTGGACTATTTTTTATTTATTTATTATTTTTTAGATGTTGGGCATTTTTTTTAACATTAATGTTTAATTTTTTGTATTTTTTGTTAAGTAAAAATCATTGTTTTATTTGTTTTATTTTTTTCTGTATTTTTTTTTATTTGTTACATGTTAGGCATTTTTTTTTAAACATTAATGTTTAATGTTTTTGTATTTTTTTTATTTGTTTTATTATTTTATATAAAAATAATTTAACAATGCCTACACCAATAACTATCATCAAAACGAACACAATTTTGCTTAATCCCTTCACTATCAATCCCCTCACTATAAATCTTCTCCATTTCACCTCTGAAAACAAACGGAGCCATATGGGTTAAACTGGTCCACTAGTGTATAGAAGCTAGGTTTTGAATATATATATATATACATATAAATATATTTGTGTTAAATACTAAAAATAACAAAATTAATTATCGATTGAGAGATAGGATGAACCCAAGAGTACATCGAGTGGTAAAGACTTGAGAATAAAATTTAAGATTTGGAGTTCGAGTTATTCCTAAAAATTTGTCCAATCGTTAATTTTACAATCTTAAAATTAATAAAGTTGCACAAAATAATATGGACACTTAGTTATAAAAATGAGAGGTAGGATGATTAACGTGAGCCAATTAGTGAGATATTAGTGGGCCGTGGGGTTAATCTAATTTAGATGTCTCATGCAGCAATAAATACTTGA